AGTGGAAAATTCTGTTTTGTAATTCCTCTAGCAAAGCTGCAGATAATATCAGCGCAGGTATAGACCTCTACGGTCCTGTATCTTCGTCCTCTCAGACCAGAGCAGTGGATTTGTGAGGAGAGGACAACTTAAGGGATGCCTGGACCATTAACCAAACAATAACATAATGAATGGACGGCACGCAGACAATTTTTGTAGTATTTTTTACGTCTCCAAGAGGGTTGCCAATCCTGACCTCCAACACTGCCAATCCTACCACCGCATGGTTGACTGGCCCAGACCGTCGAGCGGTGTCTGGGGCAAGAAAGGAGAGTGAGACCGACATGTGGTAAATAAGCCCATAACCTCTACCCTCATGTGTCGGACTTGGAAGGTTGCCAATTGACGGGGTAACACAATCCGTCTGGGCGCTTAGTCGGGCTCCAATGCCTCTCTTCTGCTGTAGGCTTTTAGGGTACTTTCGCGCATGTGAGACCCGAGCTGTCCTTCGGAAAGCCTGATGCGTGCATTGCGAAACAGAGTGTTTGACACGCGTAGACGGGCTGTTTCGCCTGATCATCCACTGCACCCGAGCTCACCTCCGATCGTCCTGCCATGACATTGCCGTCGGAGCCAGATAAGTGAGGAAAACGGGACTGCGATAAACGGGCCTCATGCTAAACTCATTCAGGCAGGATTACATATAGGGCCCTCCTAAACCGGACATTCAACTAGGAACGCCTGGACCGAGTAATAAATTTGGCTTTGCGCATAATTCTAGGAAGAGTGAATATAGTCCCGCGTTTTAACACTAGCATTAGTCCTAACACTAAACTAAACACCATTACTGACAAAGACTAGGGAAACTGGACTGCCCATTTCTGGTTTATCAGCCACTTCACATCCAAACCCAGGCCAGATATCAGTAGCCGCACAGAGGCTACTGACGAGGTTCAAGAGTGAGTTCCCCACTCGATCGGTAAGCGCCCAGAGAACGTTCTGAACCCCGACCGTTGCCCTAATCTTAACCCTAAATATGTATACTAAGTTCCAGTCTACGCCTATAAATCCAGCGATAGGCTGATTTATTCCAAGTTAACAAGTAGTTTCTGAGAAAAAGTATAAAGCAATAATTTCTAACACCAAACCTAACCCTAAACTTAACGCTACCCTTAACCATAAACATAACCATATGTTCCCTGGAGTTGAGCGCAAAAAACCTGTTTTGTGGATGATTCTTGTGCTTATGTCCACGGTAGGGGGACCATATATGTAGGTCATCCTTATCCTAATCCATGAGCAGGTGACTGGTACCGCGTACACAGTGGATGTCGTCGGTTGAGATAGTTAAATTGTTACCTGCAACAATACGGAAAAGGCGCACTCACCTCAGTCCATCCACGGTGGCACTTGGATTGAAGACTATCTCGGCACCATTGAGGCCGTACATCATCCAATTCTGTGGATGATGTCGTCCATAGCAAATATTAATGGCAATTTTGCCTTTTGAGGTGAAGAGGATAGAGGTAAAATGGGAAGCAAGAGGTTAGTATATGTTTATCGACAGAAATTCGGAAAAAGTATCCACAACAACGTTGGACTGAGGCCTTAAAACAGTGTGAACTGGAGGAATAAAGAAGCAATTTTACAGCAGTTTGGACCATTCTAATTGAATCTAGATATTCAAATATCGGGTTAAGCGACATCTCCAATTCAGAGAAGTGGACTACTGAGGAACCGGCTTGATAGTTTCGGCAACAGTAGCTTATGTAGCCCCACTCATTAATCCATACAAGCTGCATGTT